GTTTTATTGTCTCTTTTAGGATAAAAAGTAGTAGTAAAACACAGCAGCTTTTCATAGTTCCTCAAGAAAGTTGTGAAATGCTTAGCTTTCATTCTGAAGTATGTTATGGCCAAAACAGCATGTATACAATCAGAGGGGTAAATAAAAACATTCTGGCTGCAACTGATTCTCTTCAAACATCTTTTCTTCAAACATCATCTTCTTCTCTGTTCATTTTCCACAAACTTTGCAAGGAAAAATCTGCCTCATGCTGCTGGTGTTTCTAAGCATTGACTGAATTTTACTCTGCCTTATGCAGGTCATTGTGCAGTGGTACAAGAGTAGAGCCAAACAGAGGACTGTAATATTGTAGGGAGCTGGGACATAGGTTCCAGATACATGTTAAAACACTTGATGCATGAGAACTGGGGAACGAGGAGTAATTCAGTCTTGTTTTGAATCTCAAGGCTATGAGGTGTCCACTGCAGCTCTTTTTTTTTTTTTTCTTTCCCCTCCTAACAAGACAAGAAAGTTGACTTGGCAGAAGTAAATGGGCACCCAATGAGCACTTGTCTTTAAAAAGCAGCACCCCATCTCTGTCTGTGCTGGAGGTTTCCTGGGCAGAAGAATTTAAGCTAGTGAGGTAGAACATGAAATGGGGTTTATGTGACAGGGGGAGCAAGCTCAGGCAGCCACTGCTCCCTGCAGTTGAAAAGCTTAGCAAGAAATTGTGGAGTTCCCTAACAGTATAGAAAACAGACTTTCATACAAAACACAGTGACCATAGCTTATGGCTAGCCCTGAACATCACTTCTAGGCAACGACTGCTTAGTCAGTGTGATCTTTATGTTTCTAGTGACTTTCTACATTATTCACAGATGATTGTGATCTTACCCATATAGCTCCATGCTGCAGTTCTGAATGAGCCACAGTAATTTATTCTTGCTGTCTAATAAAGGCAATTTCAACACATTGGTCTTCAGCTGTGGCTTGCAGAGAGCTGAAGCAAATCTTTGGAGCCATCTAATGGGGATATTAAAATGTTGATACTATGTAATGGTCTTTGATTATTTCAGTTTCTGACATTAATGGCACAACTTCTTCTCCAAGTATCTCAAGGAAATAAAGGTAGCCAAAAGAGTACAATTTTATGTCAAAGGTTGACATTGCTCCATCAGTGAGATAAGAAGTGTTCCCTGTATTCAGCTGAAATAGGAAGAGTTTTGAGTGTTCCCATATTCTTTCGTGGTCTCAGAGTTTGTTGCCACTGATTTAAAGGAAGAGAACTCGGGGGCATTGCTGCTAACCCAGACTTTGTTTTGAATACTCCTTTTGGTGATCTTGCCACTGAATTTATCCACTTTTGATGTGTCTAGTTGTGACTAATAAAAAAATGAGGGTTATTTGAAATGTTGGTCTTATTACAGGATCATATTTTACTACCCTTGTAAGTTTAGGAAGAGCAGAAAGCTTATTTATAAAATAATTTTCCTGTTTGGCATCTCAGTAAAATAATATTCATTTGAAAAAAAATAGTTCTTTTTAATTTGTAAATGAAAGTTTAAGTACAACTTGAGACTGGGTATCTCTGGGTAACTGGACACACACTATCCTGTGTGTCCATGTTGGCTGGCAGGTAAGGTAGGATGCCTGAGAGATGGTTTTGAGCTGGGTTTAGAAAAACACTGTCATTTAGGAGAAGAGTTCATGAGAGTTCCTCCTAACACGTTGCTGTGTTTATCTGAAGTAAATGTGACCCTTGCCCACCATTGTCTTCTGTACAGAAGTCAGACTTGTAAGTAATTTCCAAGAGGAGCTTTAGTTGGAGCATTTGGTCCAGAAGTTACCAGCCTCAAAGTCAGGTGTGTGTTGGTGGCTCTTCTGAGAGCTGCTGTGGGTTGGTTCAGCGTCATCAGAAGAAACACACTACAGATTATCACACACATCACATTAAGCTTCTCTTGAATGGAAAAGAATTATTTTCAAAATGAGAATTACTCTCTTAAGCCAATGTTTTTTATGCCATATTTCTCTCAGCTTATTAAGTCTAGGAATTTTTATTACCCTGTATTCTGTGGAATCAAGTTAGCTTCAGAAGATTGATTTACATTCAGTGCGTGTTGCACATCAGAGCAAACATCCTGGAGTGTGTTTTGTGTTGACAATAAGGCATAAATTGCAAAGTACATTTTCCCTTATATAAATTGAATAGGGGAATGGCAGTTTCAGAAACAATTAGCAAATAACTGAGCATAAGCAAATACAAGAAGCCAGCCTTTTTGATGGTTTATTTCAAAACCTTCTTTATTAGTTACTTTTGAAGTATTAAGTAGTTATTGTACAGTGCTTACTATGGATCTGATCAGTCTTCTGCAAGTGGCTCTGTACAAAAACTGCAGAAAGCCTGTCACTCTGCAAGAGCTGTGTTGTGCATGGAATTATTTATGCCACCGGCGTCTGTTGGGATCTGCTCTCTGCTGTGCTGATATCAAGCAGGGCTGCTGAGGAGGCCTGCCTAGTGCAGGCAGCACCTCAGCGAAGATGTGGGGCACTGTGCAAGCTCACCAGCTACGTTTCTAGCTACAAGAGGCAGCCAACTCCAACACCAGTGTCTGGGCCCCTTGCCAACTCTGAAGGTTTGAAAGGTGAAGGAGATTGACCTGTTAGAGGATCTCTCCTGCAGAGAGTAAGTTATCAAATGGAACTGGCAGCACAGCAGTGACAGCATGACCAAGTGCTCTAAGATAGTGAGTACAGTCGTTGTCCTTTGTAAGTGCTTTTCCCATGTGGCAGATGTAAAGAGCTTGACCCTTAATAAAAACTAAATTATAGTCTGCATCTGCTGCAGGTGGTTGCTGGAGGGACCTATGGGGATGTAAAGCAGCTCCAGGTTTGTTACCTAGCAGGTGCTGCGCCAGAAGAAGGTGTGGGTGTACATTCAGACTTCTTTTTTGTTGTTTTTTTTTTTTTTTTTTTTTTTTTTTAAGGGAGCATGGTGACAGGTTTCTCTGTGAAACCTGTGAGGTGCCACTTCTGAGCAGGTGGGTAAGTGTTGTGCCTAAAGTAAGGGACTTATTCAGGGGTTCCATCTGCTGTGACCGTAACGCTGGGTAGATGTCCCTTGGCGTAGCCTGGTGGGGAGTAGTTGAGGATCAGAAGGTATCTGGATGTGGCACAGGAGAGCTGGTTTAATGCACTGTGCTGGATTTTACACTGCACTTCCCAGCAGCACAGATGCTATTGCAGACAGGATGCTCTCACTGGGGAGCAGCACAAACCAGCCTCTGGAAAACCAGCCTTAGCAGTCTGCAGCATCAGCCTCAAGCTTCACGCTTCTCCCTTACTATACCTGTCCAACAGGCAGTATTTATAGAATGAGATGTGATTTTAATTTCTTTTCACATGAACTGAAGGAAGTCACAGGCCACAGAAACTCACACGTTAGCCTTGGCTTTTCCAGAGTTATATTTATAAGGTATAAAACAGGGACGTGTTTTTGTTGCTCTTGTCTTTTTTGTTCTTCTTGCCACAGTGTGTGAATTCATGAGGCTCAAACTGAGCTATTTCACCTCAATGCAACACTGTTAAACTTGAGAAACAGGAAAGGTAAGAGATGTCAATGCTTAGAAGTATTCTGAAATAACTAACTACATGAAGTGGTTACTGTTAGCTGATGTGTCTGTTTCTGTTATGATCTTAAGCTGCAATAAACTTGAAGCTACACTTCTCAGTGGTATTTGCTGCTGTGCTGGATTTGAATTTATTCACTAAATATATCTCTGATGGCAAAGGTGTCAGCATTTTTTGAATTTATGGTCCCTTAGTTTGGAGGAGATCTTTAGGATCATCAAGTCAGCTGTTATCCCAGCATGGCCAGGGCACCACTAAACCATGGCCCTCAGCACCACTTCTCCACAGCTTTGAAACTCCTCCAGGGACACCACCACTGCCCTGGGCAGCCTGGGCCAGGCCCTGACAACCCTTGCAGGGAAGACACTTTTCCTCATGTCCAACCTAAATCTCCCCTGGTGCAACTTGAGGCCATCTGCTCTTGTCCTATCCCTATTTCTCTGGGAGAAGAGACCAACCTCCACCTGGCTCCAGCCTCCTGTCAGGGAGTTGTCAAGAGCCAGAAGGTCTCCTCTGAGCCTCCTTTTCTCCAGGATCAACATACCCAGGTCCCTCAACCACTCCTCACAAGACTAGGGCTCTAGATCCTGCCTCAACTTCATTGCCCTTCTCTGGACATGTTTCATCACAGGAATTGATTTAAAATATCCTAATATGTTAATTACAGTAATGTATTAAATACAATCATGCGTTGTACTGTATCTGAAAGACTTGGTATATAGAACCAGTGAAAAAGGATCTGACTCAGGCTGTGAAGATCGGCAAAGCTGATTGCTTTGATTTGGATAGAAAATCCAGTAGGGAGCAGAGATGTATTTTGTTGAAATTTTACGTGTATTAAATATAGTTAATTGTACTGTTAGAGTTGATGTGCAGATGCTTAATAGCATGTCACCATGACACGGGTGAATGATGACACAGATTGCTGAGCTCACTGTGGAGAAACATGGTGGTAGCATGATTGTGCCAGCTAATAGGCTGACTGATCATCTCAGGAGCTTATTTTGATTACTAATATCAGTAATTTCTTTCCAAATGTATAGCTCTGGCAGTTTCTCATACTTCTAGCTTTTTTCTGCACTCAGAATGGAAAAGCCTTAAAATACTGTGTGAGGAAAAAGATACCTGATGTCCTTTGTGCATTTCTAATACAATATTCATTCTCTAGCCATTTCTGTCTTGTAAGAGAAGGAAGTTAAAGATCAACTCTTCAAATGAGTAATGATTTGTGATTCACAAAAACATGCAGAAAAAATTTATAATCTCTTTGCCTGCGACTTTGGACTGGGTGGGTCTAATAAGTAGCAGTAAATTTGCTGATCGGTTGTCATCTGCAAAATGAAAGATATTCAATAAAGATAATTTGTTCATAATGTTATCTTCCTCCCCAGACCTCAACTGCTACTGTTAACATAGTGGTGACGGATGTCAATGACAACGGACCAGTTTTTGATATGTTTCTACCTAAAAACCTGTCTGTACAGGAAGAAGAAGCCAATGCTTTTGTTGGTCAAGTAAGGGTAAGTTATTAATTGTGCAGAGTTCAGTTGATTATTTTATTCCCTAAACTGTCCAGACTATTGGGAAAGAGCAGAAAATAATTTGTTCTATAGACAAATGCACATTAAAATGTCTTAAGTTTTACATGCAAAGTGTCTGTTGTCAGATTCATTTATGTTAACAAAGTTGTCTTTTGGGTTTTAAAATATGGAATTGATTTTCTTTTTCTGTATGTTTTAAAAATAGTACATTTCAAAACTGTTTTTGAAGACATGCCACTGTGAAAGCTTGTTTGTAACAGACCTACAGTGTTACAACACTGTCACCACATTTTTATACTCTTACTGATTTCTTTAAAAATATTTTTCTAGCGTACTGAACAAGTGGCATACCTACATAAAATTGTCATGCGCATATAAAACTTTAAGGGCATTAAGGGGAAAAATGGTTAAACTGTTGACCGAAATAATTGATTACCTGCCATAAAAATAGATGGTGCTTGGGGTATTGTTAATGTCAGGGCTTTGAAGTTACCTCAGTTTTTATAACAGGTACGGGTCTTCGTGGCTACTGAATGCAGATTCAGTCACATGAAGCATACATCACTTTTTTGGGCAGTGTCAGTTTTTCCTAACATCAGGTGAAAGAAGAAAGTATGAATAGGGTGGGTTTCTTTAACTAGCAGTTGAACACAATGTATCATCTTTCCTTCAGTGTTGAGTTAGCACCAAGGCTGGATGTAATGTGTATTTGGAAGAATGTTGTTTTTCAGGAATTTAGATGAAAAATATGCCTTTCTTTCCAGTAGCAGCCATACCGACAGAAAATGTGAGCTCCTTATCTGCTGTATTAGCAGTAACTTTGGGAAGAGTAGAACGTTTTCAGTAGCATATAACCACAATAACCATGTTTCTTTCCAAATTTGTGTTATTCAGTAAGACACCATCAGTGTTTCTTGTCTGTCATCTTTCTCATTAGTGTTCTTTTTCAGTGAACTGTAGTTGTTTTCTGGTATTTATAAACTGAAAAAAAATGATTTTTTTGGGATAGGTTTGTGTTTCCTTCATTTCTTTACTTATGGAGTTCGCTTTTGTTCAAGTTAAACTTTAGGTTTTTTAGGCTTCTTGAGTACTGTTTCATTTACATTTAGACTGAAGTGGTTCTACATATGCTCATGCTCTGTAACCTGGTATCAGTAAAGGTGGGTGCTGCTCTGAAGCTGTTGATGCTTAGGTGGGATTTTCCAGGGAAATAACATTGTCATCATGGATGAAGATTACAGATTTCCTAAAGCTTAATTTTATTACACTAGACTGAAATATCAGCCACATCAAAGGCTGTTTTGATGTCTTGGATGTACAGAAGTTAGAATCTCTGCAATCAAATCTGTTTCCGTAAATCAGTAACTTAATGCTTTGGGTTTTGTCACTGTGTTCCATCTTACGTGGTCAGTTTTTTGTTTTGCATCCTAAAACGTACAGACACGATATTTCCAATCACTACCAAGTATCTTTAAAATCCATTCTGTGTTTTGCTGGGTCCCCTCAAGGTGCAATAGTCTTTTCAAACACTGGATTTGGTCTATTTTTAGCTTAGATGGAACTATAAAAAGAAAGAAGTTACTGCAACAGAACCTCTTGGTCTTATCAATTAGTCTGATTTCTAAGTTGTGTTGTAATGAAAATAGTGAAGGCTTGTGATAGCTTATTGCTAGTTGTGAGATGACAAAGTGGTTATATCATTTATTGTTGTGGTTATTACTAGTCCTAATTCCCAGTCTCTGGATGGAAAAAGCTTTCTCGTTATAGCCAAACCACTTCATGTGGTTTCTATTGTTTCATATTCACAAATGCAAAGAGATAATGTAGAAAAGAGTGATTTAGGCACTTGGAATTTTTTTTGGTTTTACTGGCTTCAGTGAAGTTATTGAAATGATGATGAACATTTAGGTGTAGCTATGGTGTTTGAGGATAGTCTTTGTTAAAGACTGAAATAGCTTTTGTGGCGGTGTTGTGCGTCATGATACATTAGAACCATGGTAGGTTATGGGATAGGTTTCTGTGGGAATGCATTTTGTGCAGAAGCTGTAATGTGGTTGAAATATAAAGGCCTATTTTAGATGAAAATAGCCTGGTGAAAGAAAGTAGACCTTATTGTGTTATATGTTTTCAGTACCAAGAATTAAGCTGCTGACTGGAAAGCCTGCTTTTCAGAATGTCTTTTAGTATATTCACTTCAAACAGAAACCTGAAATCCACCAAAGTAAGCAGTGATACAGATGATTTTTAAAAGGAAAAAAAAACAAAAACAAAAACAAAAACAAACAACCCACCAAGTTTTTTGGCGTCCCTTTCCCTTTTGCTTTCTGTTTGGCATGGGGAAAAACAGAGCAAGAGTAGTTTTTATCTTAAGGCCCAAGAAGATGTGGGCTGTGCTGCTCATTGAGACAGAGCACCTGGTGATGAAGGCAATGGAAAAGGGCCTCAACTACTTTGACGCCTCGGGTTTTTTTGTTGGTAAAGGTTTGGTGTCAGGATCATCAGCTGCCTGAGCTCAGTGTCAGCCTGGGGGAGGAAGGTGCTATCCACAGTAAAAGATGATAAAGTTCTGTGCTGCTTTAGGAAGTAAGATATGAGCAATGACCTAGATGCTGAAGGATTGACCAAACAACCTCCAGAGGCCCCTCCTAACCAAACCGATTTTGTTTCTAATCCACTTACTATTTGAATGCATTTTATAGTGAAGTCCATTGGTTTTGTTCACATAATATGCACCAAAATCAATTATTATATGGGTTGATTTTTAACAGCAGCTACTATTATTATTGTTATTTTTATTTGGGTTTTTTCAATTGCCAGTTGATACCATAGTAATGCCAATAAATCTGGTAATATATTCTATGATGTCAGTAAGCAGAAAGGCAAAGCCAGAACAAGTTTATATTAAAATGTTAGAAATAGTCTAGATAACCTGAACAGCTATTTAAGTGTTCTTACTATTCTTGACTTTCTATGTGGACTTTTTCTTTTGTCTCCTGAGACCATGTAACTTCATGTCTCTTGCCTGCTCATCTGTTCTAAATAAGTGATGAATCGTGTTCCCACTCTCCTTCAGTTCCCTGTCCCCTCGTACAGGTAAGGTTAGAAGGAATTGGGGGTATGAAACAATCAGGTCAAACACTCCTGCAAAGCACTCCTGCCAGAGATGTGAGATTTCTGCACTCTACTTTGTTTTGAGTGGGAAAGTTTGGCTTAAAAAGGGATTCCCATGGGGGCTTAGGTATCATTTGGGAATTTGTTTCACAAGGAGACGCAGGACAAGGGCCATGAAAGATGATCTGTCAAAAAGGGGAGGGCGTGTTAGGGGCAGGGAGGCAGCAGTGGCATTCTGAAGTGCTGTCACCACTGATGGCTCTTTGTCTGCCAGCTGGAGTTCCTGAAGGCACTGGTGCAGGAGAGCTGCTGCCTGTGGGGATTTGAGGAGCGTACTGAAGATCAGAAGAGCAAAAGCTAGAAAGGATAAGGCTGCAAGTGTAGCGGATGTATTTCAAATCCCTTTTATTTTACACAGTGTTGTCTAAATTGGGGCAGTTGGAGGTGTATTAGATTCCCTGCTGTTCTTTCATGTCTGATCACGGGGATCGCCCAGCAAGACAGGAGGAGAATTGCTGCATGAAGTTCTCTACAAAGGACCAACAGGAAAAAAAAAAAGCTTCAAATGGGAAACTTGAAAATGAAATTCAGGCACCTTATTGCCTATTGCAGTCTGCAACAGCTGAGGTTCTGCTGAAGACAGGGCATCTTGAGTGATTTGTGCTGTATTGTGTGCTATTTATCAATACCACGTGCACAGGAGGTAAAAAAGTGGAATGAAATTTAGGTGAGGATCAATATATCGACTGCAAGACCTGCAGACAGGTTCACATCCTTGTTCAGCAAAAGACAGTACCAAGTACTTTGTTACAGACTTTAAAAATGCAGTCTGTGGTTAAATCAGAAGCTGTTGACCTGATGGGGCCCAGGAGAAGAAACAAATCATTCAGCTGAAGTTTTTATTCATCTCTTTTTTTATATTTACCCAGATCCTTCTGCACGCACCCATCATTTCTTTATTGTTGGCATATTTTAGTGTCACTGATGAGCACTGGTTGAAATCTCCAGTGTGAATGTGTTGGTATCAAGGGGAGATAGCGACATGAAAGGAAATGAGAAGGAAGATACAGTTAAATAGTTACATGGCAGTGGACAAACCAACCCCTAATCGGATGTTCAAGTATCACTGGACCTTAGATCTTCCCTAAAATGGAGAAAGTATAAAAAAGCTCCAATGATGAAATTGGTCTGCAGACAGTGTTGGATACTACCTCTGTCGTCTGCTTCTTTTTTTTTAAATGAGGAAAGAAGTGCTTAAAGAAAGTTGTTCTTCAGGATGAAGCTATTCTACGTACCAGAAAAGTGGGCTTTGGAGAACTTCTTTGATTGTACTGAATAATGGAAATATTTGAATTTTTTATTTACATTATTAATGTAAATTCATACCTGTGTTATATATCCAATAGCCTATCCACTACAGAACAAAGCAAGGCAAAATTGTAAGACAAGTGGGACTGAGACAGCCCATATGCCACCAGACTACTGATTCCAGACATTTTCCTTTAATGTTGTAGAAGTATTTTAAATGTGTTGTGTAAAGAAGCAAGTAGTCACAGATCAAAAGCCCTGTTAGGTAAATGGCAACATAATTCCATTTCATTAGCATTCAAAAGTGGCTATCAGTGAATTCTCTCTTATCTGAATTCATAAGGTGGCAAACCATGCGACTCTCAGGATTTAAAGGCCAGGTTAAATTTCACAGATGTTGGTAGGGCTTGTTGCATTGCACTAAGTGACCTCTGGGGATCCCTTACAACAACGTGACTCTGTGTTGCCGTATACAGGAAAGCTGCTTCAAAGACTGATGAGGTATTACCTGACAAGATTTTGTTGTAAAAAGTCCAGAAAAAAATCTGGCTTTACCTAAA